ACTCGCACCCATGATCCGACTGCTATGGGGTGACTAGAGCTGTTCACTGTGGATCGTCACCTATCGGGTGGGGCGCTGTCGACTGCCGACTTTCACCTGTGACTGGCGACATGCATTGAGTGCAGTTCGGTTTGTTCCAGGGCTGTGCCCGCCAGGAGCCGTCGGGCCACGTCGACGAACGCTCCCACCTGCCCGAGGGTAAGTTACTGAGTAACATGTTCAGGGCTACCCGTGGGTGGCCAGCGATACACTGCTGGGATGGGCTACACAATGGAGTCAGTGACTGACCGGCGGATAAGCTGCGGTGGCTAGATTTGTATCAGGGATTAATCGCTGTGATTGTCAGTATGAGTTTCATGGTCAGAAATGTGCTTGGTCGTAGAGTCCTTGGAATAGTTGGCTTCCCCTGTCTCATTTGAAGAAAAAAAATGTAGGTTTTCCGCATTCCTACCGAATGAAGAAAAAGTTCGAGGTAGCTGTTTGATTTTGCTTGCTGCCGTGAGTTGAACTTGACACAATAAATAAGTATCGTCTTAAACAAAACATTTTACACACGCCTCATCCTTGTTTCAGGGAGGTTCGATGGTGAACGGAAAATGCTCAGGAGGCGGAGATGACCTGGGCAAATGAAGGAGATAAAAGCTACGGACAATGCAACAATCGACAACACGTCTGGAGAGAAAATATCGGAGCGGGGTGGTCTGTGAAGATGAAGTGCGCTGGCATATTGTGCTATTATCCTACTTGTGTGCCATATTCATATGTGTACGGTTATGATTCCTTTGTATGATATGCCTCCATGTAATATAATGGTGTTTTGTGCCAGTGTTTACAAGCCAGGTTTTCATGAGCCTAACACTATTCAAACCCACAGCACCGCCAATGTCACTGTCTCTTTTGGAGTGCTCAGCATCATCTGAAATTTCACACAGATTTGAAGATAGTAGACACGCTATCAATGCAATGTTACACAAAACATTAATATTATACAATGATTATTATTAGAGCATAAGTAGTTCCTCACTATCCAAAACAATTTCAACATAGTGTTTAAATATACCTCCAAACACAGGGAAGAACGTAAAAATAAATATTTCCCACTCGGCAAGTGGTATCGCAGCTATTTATCTAACGTTAAACACTCTGGTCAGCGATTTGGCCACGTATCTCACTCAATGAGCACGTTGGAATGTGCTGAGATTAGCGATATGCACGGAGCACAGATCAGACGTGACTCTGCCCCACTGGTTTCGATTCAGATCACATTCATCTCACGCTATATATGTATCAAAGTTATGCAATCGAATCTACATCCGCGTTTTAAATAAAAGTGCACACGTTGAGACCAGCGTGTGGGACCGATGTCAAGATATGGAACAGGTTATATTTCACGTGAAGTCTGCTATAGTTCGTAGCATGAGAAAGACGACAAAACGGCAATCCGCTGTGCCCGCTTAGTTGACCGTTAGCGTGGAAGGCAGAGGGCCGGGACTGGGGGACAATGTTTCCCCCCCCCCCCCCACTAATATTCACGATATCTCTCGAGCGCTTAGGGATAATAGGAGCGCCAAACTTTCAGTACCTATCTTTTCCCCCATCAATTTCACATCTCGTGAAATAAAAAACTTGGACTCAACCGCCTTGATGACCTCACAGGGTCGATTTTCCTAGACCCTTGCACGACAAATTTCGACGTCACAGAGGTGCACTTCAAACAGCTGCCAAAGATAAACTTTTAGAGATAAATACAAATTCCGAGCACGGGTGTAGCATATGACATAGGTAAAAATACGAAATAATTTTGTTGACCTGAGGTCAAGAGTCAGGTTAACGACCCCGAGCTGCTGGGATTTCAGTTTTCGCAAATAACTTTAACAAAAATGGGCCTAGAGCAAAGACAGTGGTACCAACGCATCTGTCTCCTCAAGGCGCGTCGAATGGCATATATTTTGTTTAGAAAAGTTCAAGTCCTATGTCGACCTCATGTGACCTCGGATGGTTGACCTTGACACATGAAAGTGTAATAAGATGAATTCGTAGCCGCTGATAACGAATCTGGCATCCAGTTCGCTCTAAGCATTCATTTAGTGCGTCAGGAAGCAAAAATGGCTGAATCATTATGTCAGACTTGAATCGGCGAATTAGTCTCTAGCAAGGATATTCTTGCCCGATCTTGACCTTGTGGCAGACTTGTGTCGTAACATGAGCCACAAGTATGTAGGTGCCCAATAACCTTCACTAAAATATTTCAAAACTAATTTGGATAATAGTGTGCAAAATATACGAAAAAGTGCAAAGTTTGACGTCAATTTTTTAAGCATGACGTTGATCTTTACCTCAAAGTCTAAGCACATCTTTGGATTCCACAGAATTTCTTCTGTCGCTTTCACCCGTTTTCACCAATTTAATGCCTGTTTTTGCCTTTGATCTTGACCTCTGACCTTGAAAACTAGCCTGAGGTAAAAAGTATGGGTGCTTTAGAATGGCCTCGTAAAGGCCTTTCGTTTGGTACCATTTTTGTTTCCGTAGCTTCTATACCTATTTACGGAGTTAGACGGGAGTAAATATTTAGACGGGGGGGGGGGGTGGTAAATATTAGCCGTTTTCACGACGGCCATCTGGTACACATTTGGTGCACATCTGGTACAGATTAGGTGCAGATTTGGTCAAATCAGGTTCAGTGTGTCTTCTATAGCGGCTATCAGCTAGGGTTGCACTAATTGCTTATATGCCTGCTTTGTCATATTATCAGAGAGCATCATCGATTAAAACACTTGAAATGAATTCATAAAATGAAGATATTTGCTGTAAAAGAAATTAGGTGCAGATTTGGTCAAATTAGGTGCATTCGCCGGATAGCCCGTCGTGAAAACGGCTATTAGCCGTTTGGCGGCGCTGCGCTCAAAAACGGCGGCGCTGCGCGCCGCCGTTTTTGAGATATTGCAACAATTCGCGAGGGGGTAAAATTTACCCCCCCAGCCCCGCGCGGGTTAAGTTGACCTCACCAAACAAAAAGTAACCATTCGAAGCGCCTGAGTTAGGCGAACACGATGGTGCCAAAATCGCGGCTCTGGCATTTTTTTTATAAATCATTTATCAAAAACGGAACCCGTAACTCGGGTCACATGACCTGGCCTCCGATATCACCGGTTGACCTGAGACCTTAAAATCGGGTAGGTACATATGTACAAATCGCTGCGTCTTGTAAGGGCACACACACTCGTTTTTCCCGCGAGGCTCTAGCTCCATTAGGGGCACAACGGCGAGCTTACCAACCCCCTGAAACCCATTTCGATTGCGTGAAAATGGGAAATTTATAGAAAGAACACCTTTCTAGTTTTTTTGCATGTCGATTCGCAATGACCTAAAATTTATTTTGAAAAAACAACAACAACAAAATGGTCCCAAGGGTCGCTAAAGGCAAGTGAAAAAAGATAACGATAATTTTCAAAAACAAAACTTTTTCTGTGAAATTTCCAACGTTACATTAATCTTTGATTCATCACAAGTTGGGTGCTGTTTGCTGTTTGTCGCTTGCTTAACTCATTCTTGATTTATAGCCCATCAAACTCATCCTTATAATCCCAAATTAAATGTTTTGCAATATAACTCAAAAAGTTCCCATCTGAGAAGTCTGATATGTTGACAGGCGTCTTTGGGGCCTATGATTACCCCTAAGACCGATTGTTATTCAAATCTGAGAGGTGAGGATGACGGGCCTGGTGCGATCTATCGTGGAATGCCCCCGCTGTTCATATTTTTTGTTAACCCTCGCCGGCACAGGCCATTTTGCGTCCTTCGACGGCAAAGGGGGGGGGGGGGTGGTACGAACCCCCCCCCCCGCGTTTGGCCCCTGATCGAGCTAGAGCTTCGCGGAAAAAAACGAGCGTGTTGCCCGTCACGAGAGGAAGCCGATGATACCCAATTTTAAGGTCCTAGGTCATCGGATGACCTTCCAGGTCAGGTCAATGACCCGAAAATCGGGAAAATCGGGACCTGTTAGAAAGTCGTAAAGTGTGGCTGCTATGTGGTTTTCCGGGGTGCTGATCACGAATATCGTGTAAGTTTTGATCAGGGATGATGTCTTTAAGCATTAAGATCAGGTCGGGTCGGGTCAGGTCAGGTCAACCGGTATAGGGGTCGTGACGGGTATTCGTAATACGTGTCAACCGCCTCTGACAGCTTCGTAACATGTTGCGAAGGCACCAAAACTACTTCGAAAATGTTCAAATGGTTGCTAAATAATTCGAATTCAGCTCCAAAAACTAGCCTAGAAACATGTAAAACTGGAAAAAGTGAACCGAGGTCACCAAAGGTCAATGACCTGACCTGACCTTCAGGTGACCTTGACACCCACCCTAATGTATGGGAGCAACATCAAATCACATGTTTGAACGTTTGAAACCACGAAAAGCTTGCAAACGCGCGGCTAATGCGAGCCGACATATACGCCGAATCGCGACTCCGGCCAAACATGGTCTCGGAAAAGAGGTCACAGGTCAAAGATCATTTGGGCCAGGGTCATAAAATTTTCAGGGTAGGTGTAAAATTGATCAATGCGAAGGGTACTGAAAGTTTCGTCGCGATCGGCCGCTTTTTACGCGAGTTATTCGCGAAAAACCTTAGGGGGTGCATCAACCCCCCTTACTCATTGCTTTTTATCAGTCAGATAATTCACGGCCAGTGGCCACTCCTTAAATCTACAGGCCAATGATAACCTCTGTAAGTAAACAAAAGGGGACTGAATGCTTCCAGCAGAGCGCTTTTTGCATCACACACACACGCATATTACCCATGCACAGACCCCACATTTTAAAGCAGGATGTGCAGTGCATCCACGTTCCTACTTCGTGACCATTTATATAAAAATTCATATGTATAACTATACCCTAACGAGCACGGATGTGTGCTATCACACCACATCCTTTTACAAGGTCATGACCCCCGACGCGAAAGTTCGCGCGGGGCTACGCAGTGCCGACACCATATCCACCTGTGCTCTGTGTGCTCGGCCAGCCGAGGACAAGGCCAACAGTTCGATATCGCCGCACCAAGGCCTGGGCCGGCACAGTGTCCCTCTGTTTACTGCATTGCTATGGCGATGACGGCCGGCGACCTGCGTCGCGCCGGGCCGCCGCGGGCGCTCGGCTACAGGTCAGGTCGGCGGCCGGCCGCGGGGCATGAGGCGGCACATCCAGTGAGCGGTGCTGCTGTGACCGAGGGCAGGCTGCCGGTATGGGCTCGGGGCAGAGCTGTGACTCGGCATACGGCTCCCGGCGCGGCACGGCTCGAGTGGTGAGTGCGGTGAGAGGGACACTCCCCAGGGAGTGGTGAGTGGAGTGTGAGTGACACTCACGGTGAGTGGGGTGAGAGGGACACTCCCCAGGGAGTGGTGAGTGCGAGTGTGAGTGACACTCACGGTGAGTGCGGTGAGAGGGACACTCTCCAGGGAGTGGTGAGTGGAGTGTGAGTGACACGTTTGACGCTAATTGACCCATATACAGTGACGTACCCAAGGGGGGCCACGGGGGCCAAGGCCCCCCCCCTGAGCGCCGAAGGCGCTCAGGGGGCCCCTCAGGCCCCAGGATATTTTTTAAACACTGGATAACACGTCTTTTACTCGGAAGAAAAATTGATATTAAAGTTTCATTTATGTGCCCTGGGTACCCGAGGGGCCCCTGCAGTCATCCAAGGGCCCCCCAGTTTCCTGGGCCCCTGGTCGCCTAGGGGGCCTCTGGTAGCCGGAGGCCTGGTTTCATGGGGGCCCCTGATAGCCTGTGGCCCTTAGTCGCCTAGGGGGCCCTGGTCGCATGGGGGGGGGGCCTCTGGTCGCATGAGTCCCCTGATCGACTGGGGGCCCCTAGTTGCCTAGGGGGCCCTGATAGCCGGGGGCCTGGTCGTATGGGCCCCTGATAGTCTGTGGCCCCTAGTCGCCTAGGGGGCCCTAGTCGCATGGGGGGCCTCTGGTTGCATGATATTGAGGCCCCTGATCGCCTGGGGGTACCTAGTCGCCCAGGGGGCCCCTGGTAGCCGGGGGGCCTGGTCGCATGGGGGCCCCTGGTTGCCTGGGGCCCCCGGTCGCCCCTAGTCGCCTGGGGGACCCTGGTCGCCTTGGGCCCCTGGAAGCCTGGGATCCCCTGGTCGCCTGGGGGCCCCTGATCGCCTGAGGGCCGCTGGTCACCTAGAGGGCCCCTGGTCGCCTGGGGGCCCCTGGTAGCCGGGGGCCTGGTCGCATGGGGCCCCCTGGTCGCATGGGGGCCCCCTGGTCGCCTGGGGGCCCCTGATCGCTTTGGGGACCTGATCGCATTGGCTCTTGGTCGCCTGGAGGGCCCTGGTCGCCTGGGGCAGTGGGGCCCCTAGTCATCTGGAGGACCTGGTCGCCTGGGAACCCCTGGTCGACTGGGGGCCCCTGGTCGTCTGAAAGTACACTTATCACCTGATTGATCCCAAATCATCTGAGTGGCTACTGGCTACTGGATATAAGTAGTGACTGGAGTAGGCACTCATCTGAAGGAGCCAATATCTTTCACGGTGCCGGAGATATCACAGAAAAACAAAAAGGCTAAACTGAATACCCCCAACCTTGGCCCCAAAGGCGTCATTGGCTAACACAGGGATGTGGGTCGATTTGCAATCGCATTTCCTCCTAATTCCTATTCCTCCAATTAATACAGTGTCCCAGAATTACCCAAGCATTTATTTTCTGGCTAAAAGTACAATTGCGCTCGATTCCTAGTGAAACATATAATAGCCGCGTTTACATAGGGCTAGTTGCCAGATAGTGGAATTCCGATAACGAGACATTTATTCCCCACTATTATATTATATACCTACATATCCGGCATTGGAGGATGTTCAGTAATTGAGGCGCTCGCTCATAAAATGTCGTGCGTTTCATGCACACTCCTCAAGCAAAAATATTTTTACTTTCCAATTTTCCACATTTTCTCAAGGCTTAGACCGTTTCAGAGACCGTTTTTATTGACTTTGATGAAGTTGAACGCGAGAAATCACAACCAAATGCTACATTAGGTTGTAAAGAACTGCATTGCGTTTTCACACACACGTGGCGTTTTCTCACCTACGTCTGCAGGAGAGACCGGACCCACTATGCCCCCCCCCCCCACCATCGAAAGGTTCTTCATGACTCCCGGGGGCCCCCGCGGGGAACCTGGGGGGCCCTATACACTGTGGGGGGCCCCTTCGAAAGCAGGTGGCCCCCTCCTGGGCGAAATCCTGGGTACGTGCCTGCGGCCATATATCACCAATCCATTTATGTATATTCATTGTAAAGGCAGAATAATACTCAGGCATAAGGAATACCTCTGGGCTCTGAGCTAAACGTTTTATCGCTGATAAAGCTCCCAAGCTATAACTATGGCGAAAAAATTGCCTAATTACAGCAAGGCTCCAAGAAGTCCAACCGTTTGCAAACTTTGATAAGGCATTATCAGTAGTCGGACAAACACTAATCTGCCTCTCGGCGATAAGGATTGCTGAATGCTGACCTTTGTATGCTGAATTTACATGTAAAGTTTAAAGCTGCTCTGATTGTTTACGACTAGGATAGGGACACTTGCTGTAATATCATTACGCTGTTGTGTGTTGTTGACAGGCACCTGACTCGTGGGCCCAGTCAGTGAAGACTAACAACATGAGGAGCTATCCGAATTCCGAGGTAATGACACCGATCATTTTAACATACTCTTATTGTGGTATTTGTTTCCTTTTCTTTTCTGGTTACACCGTTAAAATAAAACCAGTATAACGCCTTTTGGGGCGACTAACGGAGCGAGCGAGAGGGTGAGCCTTGCACGTGCGAAATTACGAGGGGGTACCTCCAGCTGACTTGTGCACGGCACCCTACTAATCGGTCTCTAGCGATGTGCCAAATTTGAGCACAATCGGCCCAGTCGTTCTCGAGATCTGGAAGCGGCACCCTGCACGTGCGCACGTGCAAAATGGGTCCCAACTGACTTTTGCACGGCACCCTACTAACCGGTCCCTAACCATGTGCCAAATTTGAGCGCCATCGGTCCAGCCGTTCTCGAGATCTGGAATCGACCCCTGCACGTGCGCACGTGCAGCAGCACCCCAACTCTGGCACATGGATATGCAGTGCCTAGTGGGTGCCTACCTACATGCCAACTTTCAGCGCAATCGGCCAAGTAGTTACCGAGATATTGCAACAATTACAAAAGTGACACCTCTTCGTTTTGCACGTGGCACGTGCATAAGGGGTCACCCACATGCATCGGGAACAGTCCAATACTTGGTAGAAGGAATGAAGCTACCCTACAAAAATTACCGCGTGTAAATCGGTCAAGTGGTTGCTGAGATATAAGCCTCGCAAAAGCGTGACCACGGCCGGCCGGCCGGCCGGCCGGCCGGCCGGCCGCTCATACTCAGAAATTTCCGTTAATCTAGGGAAAGACTACGCTCGCTTCGCTCGCTCCGTAATGAATAAGCAGTCATTTCGGGACACATGAGGCCGAACCTCAAGAAATTTGATATGGGGTTTGGTAAGCATTTATACTTCCTTTCTGATTAAGTGTATTCGTGTAACTCTTAACTATAGATCTAACTGCGACCAATACCTTGGGAAAATATCGTAATATCTCCATCAGAAATCTTAAAGCCACCTCACAGCATGCTACTCACAAATGATCTTGATAATCTCGACAAGCTTTTCAGAGGGACATGTTTCGATCTGAGTCTTGTAAATGATGTCATCGGTATTGCTTTGTGGTATAGTACGGTTCAATCCCATCACGACATCCTTAACACCGCTCAGCGAAAAGTGTTACGGTAATCAGATGAGCACTTCTAGGGAGGTGCAGCACCGTTGTAATGGGTGCCGATGTACTGACAAACCATTGATGAGTAATCATTGACAGGCTTGTCCTCACTGAGGCTTGTTAGTGCCAATTTATAAACATCACTCTTCTCCTTAATGAAATGTGTCAGAGGCCATAAAAAGGGACTCTGCATCGTAACAAACGGTACAGAAGCCTAGCTTTTTAAATTAACCGAATTGCCACTTAAAAATGAAGAAAGGACTCGGTGAAAGTTAATTGCTATGTTGTCGCATTAGAAACATTTTGCAGGCAAAGCAAGCAATGGCTTAGTGTGATAAGGCCTGTGCCATTCAAGAAATACGTTTTGCCTTATTAATTATTTATCTGATGTCGTATAGCCGATCCTCGATAAGAAGACTCTGGAGGAGTACCTCCAGATCGAGCGGGAGATCGCCGAAGCCCAAAGATCCGATCCGGACGTGCTGCCCCAGTTCAAGAACAAGATGACCCAGCTGGAGGAGGTCAACCAGCGCCTGGAGCAGCTGGACGAACAGCTGAACCAAGTCCCGAACACGGTGAGTTACTGCTTCTCCTGCAGCAGACGGGTGGGTGTTGTTCCACACTCAAAAGGTGGAGTGTGTGAAGCTGTCGCCATCGTTTCTTTGCACTTCCCGACGGCACAGCTGGAGGAGATGCTGAACGATTGCCTTCATGTCTCTCTTCCATCGGGCTCCATATGTATGCATGTATGATCATTACATTCGGTGCGTTGTCCTGCAAGAGGGAGCCGATGACGTATAATTTAGTTCAAAGAGTGACCCCTTATTGCAAGACTCTCGATCCATCGTTATTTTTCCAGATCGTATGAAGCTGCTTGGAAATATAAAATTAAGTACCGATGGCTACCAAGCCGCGTTCATCACTCAGAAAAGGCCAGTCTCAGCTTAACCCGCGCCCAGATGGGGTCTGCCGAGCAACGCGGTCTGATGGGGGGGGGGCATTTTGGCCCCCCCCCTCAGATCTCGAGAACCACGCAACATAGCGACAAGCGGTAAACGGTGTTGGATAGCCCCAACGGGGAACTACCTTGTGACCCAATTTTATTGACCTCGGTCAAACCGATGACGTCACAGGTCAGGTCAAAGGTCGAATTTTCACCGTTTACAGGCATTTCAAGAAATGCGTTGTAAAATCGAGTAAAATGCATTTCATTGAAAATCGTCGATGGGGAAATGTTCTTCAAACAGATATTTTGCTATTTGAGGTCACTGACACCAGGTCAGGTCACAGAGGTCAGGTCACTGGGGGGTCACAATATGAAAGTGTCGTGTGATACATGTTTTATGGTCCATTTTACATGACAAATGCGATTATGTGGGTCAGACAGACTTTAGGGCCAGCTTAGGTCACGTTTTGGTCAAGGTCAGGTCAAGGTCAGGTCAAGGTCAGGTCAAGGTCAGGTCAAGGTCAGGTCAAATTAGGTCAAATTTCAAAGTTGATATTTTTGCATAAAATGGGTATCGATTCGATGCAGCTCGTCACGGGAAGTTCAATGGTGGTCTCCGTTTTGCGCTACGTGGTCTAGAATTGCTAAAAATTGAGTTCAAAAATTTGACGTCAACAATTTTTAACAGTTTTTTTCGCTATAACTTGGCCAAAAAAGGAGGTATCGATCTAAAATTTGGTATGTATATCAAAGAGCGCAGGGACTATCACACATATTCCGGTTTTTTTCGAAATTCAAAAAAAAAATTGGAAATTTTTTGAGTTTTTCTAACAAATATCAATTTTTTTTTATTTTTTGGGGTCAAAATCCCAAAATTTCGAAAATCCGAGATAGCAGTTTTGTAGCGCCGTCTTTTCTCTACACAACCACATAAAAAAAAATTAAAATTGCTTGTTAACTGTAGAATTGGTGAGCGTTTCAAGATGTCATGTTTTTTGCTCATTTTTACTCGAACATGACCTCAGTTTGACCTGAATAATTCCTGACCTGAGGTGACCTGTGACTTGAAATTTTGTGTGAAGGTGTCAAATTGATGCCCGGTAAGGTATCCAAAATTTGGCGGCGCTGCGCGCCGCCGTTTTCTCGCTATTTAAGAAAACCACAGGGGGGCCAAAATGCCCCCCCATCAGGGCGCGGGAAGACCATTCGGGGTCATTCTCAGATGGCTCGGTTACCCTGTCACACTTCGGTTCAATGTTGCATGCAGGGGTGGAGATCTGTCAAAATGTCAGGGGGGGGGGGTCCAGGCCGGGCAGGTGGAGGCGGGCTGGATGCAGTACTAGTCAATGGTCATTGACTTACATAGCAGTAATTCGTTTTCAGGGGGGGTCCTGACCCCCCGACCCCCCCTCCCCGAGATCTCCACCTTTGGTTCAGGGGCGGCGCCACCGGGGGGCAGGGGGGGGGGCAGCTGCCCCCCCTGGCGCCAGCCAGGGGGGCAAACATATCTTTTTGCCACCCCTGTAATACTGAAGGCCCTTTTGCTCAAAATCACAGGCCCCTATTCTTATCTGTGACTTTTCCACCCCAGACATAGCCTCGAGGCGCACCAGCTACTTTACAAATGGAGGGCCGCTGATAATATAGAAGGTTCTTTGTATGAATTGGAGGTGCCCTGTACAAACAGGAGGGCCCCTAGACAAATAAAAGGCCCCTCGACAAATAGGAGGCCCTCTGTACAAATAGGAGACCCCTTGGACGATTAGGAGGCCCCTGTACAATTGGAGGCCACTGGGCTAATAGCAGGCCCCTGGATAATTAGGAGGCCCCTTGGAGATATAGAAAGCCCCCTGGACAAATAGAAGGCCCCCTGTACAAATAGGAGGCCCCTGGACGATTAGGAGGTCCTCTGGATAAATAGGAGGCCCCATGTACAAATAAGAGCCCCTTTGGACAAACAGGAGACCCCCTTAGCGACTAGGAGGCCCCTGGAAAAATAGGAGGATTCTGCAGAAAAAGGAGGCCCTTTAGACAAATAGGAGTCCTCTAGGACAAAAAGACCCTCTCTCGACAAAAAGGAGCCTCCTGGATAAAGTGGAGGCCCCTAGACAAATAGGAGGCCCCTAGACAAATAGGAGGCCCCTAGACAAATAGGAGGCCCCTAGACAAATAGGAGGCCCCTAGACAAATAGGAGGCCCCTAGACAAATAGGAGGCCCCTAGACCAATAAAAGGTGCCTGCACAGTGCACACATAGGAGGCCCCTGGGCCCCTGCAGAAATAGGAGGACCTCGGTAGAAAAAGGTGGCCCTCTGTACCAATAGTAGGTCCCCTGTACAAAAGGGAGGCCCCTAGACAAATGGGAGGTCCCCTAGACAAATAGTAGGGCCCTGGACAATAAGGAGGCCTCCTGTACAATTTGGAGGCACCCTGGGTAAATAGGAGGCCCCCTGTGAAGATAGGAGCTGCCCTGTACAATAAGGAAGTCCCTAGACAATTACAAGGCCCTTGAAGAAAAAGGAGGCCTCCTGGAAACACAGCAGGCCCCCCAGACGAACAGCAAGCCCCTTGGACAAATTGGAGGCCCTCTGTACACATAGGAGGCACCCTGGACATTGAGGAGGTCCTCTGTACAAAAAGGAGGCCCCCTAGACAAATAGGAGGCCCTCTCGACAAACAGGAGCCCCCTGGACAAAGAGGAGGCCCCTAGACAAATTGGAAGCTCTCTGGACAAATAGAAGGCACCCTTGGCAAATAGAAGGCCTCCTGGACAAATAGAGGCTCTCTGTAGAAATAGGATACCCCCTTGGCAAATAGGAGGCCCCATGGAGAAATAGGAAGCCCCTGGGATAAGTAGGAGGCCCCCTAGACAAATAGGAGACCCCCTAAACAAACTGGAAGCTCTCTGTGCAAAGAGAAGGCACCCTGTACACAGGCTCTCTGTGCAAAGAGGAGGCACCCTGTACACAGGTTCTCTGTTCAAAGAGGAGGCATCCTCTATGTACGCATATTGATATAGGAGGCCCCTTGCACCAACAATAGGTCCTCTGTAGAAATTGGAGACCCCCTGGACAAATAAGAGGCCCTCTGTACTTACAAGAGGTCCTTTTTACATATAGGAGTCCCCCTGTGCAAACAGAGGGCCCCTGTACAAATAGGAGGCCCCCGGTGCCAACAGGAGCCAGGAGGCCCCTGGATAAATCCGAGGTCCTCTGTACCAGTATCAGGCTCTCTGTTCAAATTGGAGGCCCCCTGTACCAACAGGAGGCCTATGGGCAATTCAGAGGCTCTCTGTACCAGTAAAAGTCTCTATGTGCAAATAGGAGGTCGAGGCTTCTTGTAGAAGGAAGGCTTAGCCAGGGGCGTAACCACGCTGGAAAAAAAAATGGTGCGGACAAAGTCATGGGGGAAGCCATCCTTCGAGAGGGCGCCATCGCCTTTAAGGCGCAAAAGAGGGTGCAGAAGAGGGTGCCTACTTTCATGTGAAAGCAGGCAGTGGCGTAGCCAGGGGGCCAGGAAGAACATTCCCCCATCAAGTTCGGAGTCCCAGGGCTCAAGGTGCCCTGCGACGCTAATTGGCCGCTGAGGGTCCACGCTGGGCATATTTCACCTCAGAAAGGCCTCACAGAGCCCGCAAGAGCATCTTTAGGCTCCTAAGTAGCCAGCTTATCTCCAGAAGGGCCAACTCCGGCTTCTGAGGGCCTCTTACCAGTTACCGGACTCTGAGAACCCTTGCCAGCCAATTAGGAGCCAGCAGTTCAAAGGACCCACACCTGCCAATGATCAGTTTCTCTGATCAGTTTCTCAAATCAGTTTTCTTTTAGGGTCCCATAGCGGTGACTGTGAGGACCCTCACCTGCGTCTCTAAGGGCCCACACCGACGTCTATGAGGGTCATATGACCCATACACGCAACTCTGAGGGCCTACAACAGCGCCTCCCTCGCCCTGACAGGGGAGTGGGGGAGGGGTTCGATGCGACCCATGAGTTTTTTTTTGCGATGTGCGCCGAGCTATTAGTAGGATCGTGCTGAAATTTTCAATGGCCACTGGGGCATCCTTTGCGCAAATTTTAGTAAAAAAAAGTTCTGGGTCATGTCAGGTCATCGAGCTATGACGTCATAAAAGGTAAAACCTCCGATCGTTTTTGATAAAATCGTACATAGATGTAGGTACCGTACCTACTTGGACGTGATCTCATTGGCAATAACGAAACTATTCCGTGTGATTGTGTGTCAGATTTTGATAGGACATGAAGCTGTACATTGTTATGTTGACAACTGTATGAAACTGTACATGTATATTGACCTATCTATGGTCAGCCAAGGTCAATGACCTTGCATGTTGACATGCTGACCTCCGTGATATGCTTGGAGAGGTTTCTTGAGGTCCTGAATCCGAATCTGTGGTTCAATTTTAACCTAAACGCCTTCAAAATGGTTCTTGACTTTTAAAAGGTCAACCCAGGTCAATTACAACCGTCCTCACTCCTCGCCGGCGGCGGGTGTGACCGCCCTGTGTGGCTCAATGAGAGTTCATAATCAGAGAAAGCCACTTACATGCTATAGGCCTTAAAGATTCCTGATCGCTGAGGCGAAAGTTTCTGGTATTAGAGCAATCTGAAGCCTGCAT